TCATATAGAATCATGTGACCTGTGTACATACTTTCATGTCATATAGGTTTATGGTGTAATTAGTGTTTCCACTACACAGCATATTCTCTTACTTTATTTTCACATGCTATTGTACTGTACAGCCCGGACCATCCGCCACTATGAAGTAGAATGATTTAAGTTCTCTAACTTATATGTTTTTATTCATTCAGTTTCATCATTAACTGCAGTATATATGTAATTTCATGTATTTTGTGAGATCAGAATATTTTGAGGTTTTCATTACATTTGATACTGACATGAATTTTCATGACAATGCATTTCTTATTGTGGGGTAATTGTACTTTGTGTGTATTTTTGTAATAGGTCAATAAGTCGCGGGGGGCAGGTCTGGGCTCCAGAGGGTTCCACTGCTTTTAAATGTCTGCTCTCTGCACGTTTCTGTGCAGCTCTGCTCAGCAACATCTCCGACTGCGATGAAACTTTCAACTACTGGGAGCCTGTGAGTACAACCCCCTTCCTGGGATTTTCTAATATCATTCTATAATTTTTATCTCATTTCTTCTCTTTCTTCAGCTGCTCATGTTTGTTACTGCTCACTGTTGTGTTTACTGTTTTGGCAGATGCACTACCTGCTGTACGGCACAGGGATGCAAACATGGGAATATTCTCCATTGTACGCCATCAGATCTTATGCTTACTTATGGCTACATGCTCTCCCTGCTTGTTTGCATGCCCATGTTCTACAGACAAACAAGGTAACAATTCCAAACTTGCTGTCAATTCAACATTTGTTCTTCTGTGAATTTACCTTAAACTTGTAACAGTATATAATCTTTGTTTAGAATAAAATATTTTTACACAAGGTGACTGACAAACATACCTGTATTCACCTCATACATAAACACACACAGAGGTTACGTCATTATTCTGAAACGTGTGCAGTGGTTTCAAGCTTGTGTTATAATTGTGCTGTAGGTGCTGGTGTTCTACTTTGTACGATGTGTGTTGGCATTCTCCTGCTGTGTCTGTGAACTCTATTTCTACAAGTAAGTTTTCCTCTTAAATCCAAAGTGGTCTGTCCTCAGCACATTGTCTCACAAATTCCTGGGCGGTCTTATACAGTATACAATGATGAAGTGAACCATTTGACCCGTGTGTGTGACACAGGGCCGTTTGTAAGAAGTTCGGTTTGCATGTCGGCCGTCTGATGTTGGCATTCCTCGTCCTGGGCACAGGAATGTTCTGCTCATCTGCAGGTTGGTCACATGTATTCACATAATTTATCCATTCTGTCTCTCTCTGTATATTATGTATCAAGTGCCTCCATTCCAGCCCTGTGTGGTTTTTACCATTCACTTTTACCACCTGGAAACCTCTTTGTAAATTGTGCAGTACATTTCAAAAGTGATTTCATACCTGTGATGGTATTTGCAGTACACGGAAAGAGTTTCTCCTGTTTGCATTTTTGTTTACAATTTGTCCCCCTTCTCTTTTGCTCTTTTGCCTCAGCTTTCCTACCCTCCTCTTTCTGTATGTATACAACGCTGGTTGCCATGACGGGGTGGTTTCAGGACTCAACGCCATTAGCCATTGCCGGTGTGGCTGCCGGTGCCATTGTCGGGTGGCCGTTCTCTGCTCTGATTGGGTAGGGCTGTAAAATAAAATACAGAGTTGACCGCAACACATTTTCCAGACAGAAATGTCAAAATGTATTGCTCTTAAACTGTCTCTGGTTTATTTGGTCTGCAGGGCTCCAATTGCCTTTGACCTGCTGGTGATAAAGAGGCAGTGGAAAGGTTTTATCACCTGGTCGGTCATTGCTCTGACTCTACTGCTGGTGAGAGAATTTAAGAAATGCTTTATGACAAATTAGTAGAGCTTATTTTTGTACTCCCTAATATTGAATTTGGCATCAGCCCCCAAAAACATCAGTAAGGCTCTAGTAAATCTGTATACTTAATTCATCATGATTTTTTTAATATTATGTTAATTGTAAATGATTAGAAGAAAAACCTCCCTTCTGTTTATCCTGTGTGTCACTCTCAGGTCCCACTGGTGGTAGTCGACTCTTTCTTCTATGGCAAACTGGTCATTGCTCCACTCAACATTCTATTGTACAATGTCTTCACACCACATGGACCTGATCTTTATGGTAATAATACACAAGAGCACGTGTAATTAAAGTGTTTTGTTTATATTGATCACATTGGCGATCTGTTAGGTGCACATGCTTCCTTTAACAATTTAAACCTTCTGTTTTTATTGGACTCTAGAGGGCGTACCATCAACAACATTAATATGTCTAACCCCTTTAAATGTACCAGTTGATTTTTATTCTTGTCCATTAAATTCTAATTCAGTCAGTCAGACAAAAAAAACAAAATAATTGAATACAGGACACTTCGTCTCCTCCACCAGTATGCAGTGTTTTATCTTCACAAGATCTACTTTAAGTAAATCACGCACTAACAATGCAGTAATTATGTTGTATTTATTGTGATAGCCTATACACCAGCTGTGATTATTCATGTTGTGTGTTGTTATATTTTCAGGTACAGAGCCGTGGCATTTCTACTTTGTAAATGGGATCCTGAACTTCAATCTGGTGTTTGCTCTGGCACTGTTTTCACTTCCACTCACTGCTCTCATGGAGACACTTTTACATAGGTTCAATGGTGAGAACTCAGAAGGGAGAGGGTGTCTACCTTAGCAAAACAATTAATGCATGTTAATATTCCTGGGAAATAGACTAAGAAGTACTCTGTTCATTATTTCCTGTCACTAACTGAACAGATGCTATTTTTGTTACATTAAATGACCACCATCCCTGTTGATGCTATTCTGTACTCAAGTCCTCAAAACTGTATCATATAATGTATATTGGAAAAACAATTACAAATTGTTATTATGAAAAAAATAATTATAATAATTCAGCGTTCAGAGATTACTTTTGATGAGATGTTAATTTTCAAAGCAGCACCTCTTGTGATCACATGTTTATGTGGATGTGTGTGTTCTGCAGTGCAGAACCTGGGCCGTCCTTACTGGCTGACTCTGTCTCCCATGTATCTCTGGATGTTGGTTTTCTTCACCAGACCTCATAAAGAGGAACGTTTCCTCTTCCCCATCTACCCTCTCATCTGTCTCAGCGGGGCAGTAGCCCTCTCTTCTCTACAGGTGGGGTTTGAACATTTTAGCTTAAAAACGCAAAAAAGAAGTCTGTGGTCATTGGCTTAATTTGTTTTGGTCATGGATGTGGCTGTAAAGTCAGTTTTTACCAATGTTTTTATTTCCTGTAGAAATGCTACCACTTCCTGTTCCAGCGATACCGACTGGAGCATTACACGGTCTCCTCCAACTGGCTGGCTCTAAGTGCCGTTGTGGTCTTCGCAGTGTTGTCGCTGTCTCGCTCCGTCGCTCTCTTTAGAGGTGCGTGTGCTCTCCTCAGACCCAGTGTCAGGCAACAGAGTTCAAGATGGTTGAAATGAGATATTTCTCTCTGTCTCCAGGTTACCATGCCCCTCTGGACCTGTACCCAGAGTTTCACCGCATTGCCAAGGATCCGACTCTTCACTCAGTCCCTGAAGGCAGACCTGTCAGTGTGTGTGTGGGCAAAGAGTGGTACCGCTTCCCGAGCAGCTTCCTACTGCCACACAAGTCAGTATCCAGGATATTGCGTTTGCGCAGAATCTTGACGTCCTTCTCAGTCTTTTTCTTCTACTGGGACTTTACATATAAATGCTTTTCAAACACATCCAAGCAGAGATTTTTCATCCAGATATAAATGTATACTCAGAGTCAGTCACTTCCTGATAGTTACTGTTTCTAATCTCCAGCTGGCAACTGCATTTCATTCAGTCTGAGTTTAAGGGGCAGCTGCCTCAGCCATACGCCTCTGGTCCTCAGGCCACGCAGATCATCCCAGATAATATGAATGACCAGAACCTGGAGGAGCCTAGTAGATATGTAAGTCACTCAGAAACTGGTATTTTTAGTGACACATGGATAATGTATTTAAAATCATTTGCATGAAATTTAAAAATGTGTGCTTTGTGCAGGTGGATTTACGGCAGTGCCACTACTTAGTAGACCTGGACACAGATGAAGAGACGCCACTCGAGCCACGTTATTCAGCCAACAAAGAGGAGTGGAACGTCATCGCCTATAAGCCCTTTCTTCAAGCATCAAGGTGTTTTCCCAAACACAAAATTTACACTAAGTTTACAGATTTTAGTAAAGAGTAAGAATAAGAAACTGCAAAAAATTCTGCTGTATTCTTGGAGAATTTTAATGTCAAGTAACTTCACTGACAAGAATGAATATAAAACCAATTCTGATTCAGCGTCCCCACTATTGTTTTCCTGTTCATTCTTTTTTCCTGAGGCTCTTTTTTCTTTCTTCTCTCTCAGGTCTTCTCCTCTCGTCAGGGCCTTCTACATCCCATTTATATCAGACCATCACACCACCTACAGGCGCTACGTCATCTTGAAACCCCGGCGACAAAAGCAGCCCCGTAAGCGTACCCATGGCTGACCTTTGAACCTCAGCCCGGCCCAAAATCCTGACCACAGAAATCTATCACTTCCCCTCAACAAAACTGGTATTTGTGTGTGATTGTTGGACGTGTGTGACTGCATGTGTTTCAAAGTATTTGTCTCATGAAACATTCGAAGATATCGGACCCTTTAAGGACATTACGTCTGTGTGTGTGTGTGTGTGCGTAATTGAATGTATTATAGTGGATGCAAACTACAAGATTTTAGCCCAGGACAGGCCGTTATACTCAAATGTCTTTTTCTTTTTTTATACATCACTTGAAAATGCGGCCTGAATAATTTTTTTCTGAACAATGTGTCTATGAAATCTTGTAGTGTTTGCTCATCTGCACTTGAACAGTGTTTTCTTGTGTGTGCTGTTGAGTGTGAGCGTGTAGATGAGACGAGGCTGTGTTATTAATTTAAGTTGACATATGAATAAAACACGACTGACTGTGAATACAATCCTGGTTTCCACCATAATCTCATTTTATTTGAAGATGTAACAAACATACAAAGCACTCTCACTTACAGGAGAGATGTCAAGGCATTAGACATTCTGAATAGATAATAATATCAATATGATGCTATATTTTATCATTCTCTTCTGTATCATGCCGCTGCTGTGGGCAGGCTGCAGGCACTCAAGCTGAATTCACTGCATGACCACCTTTACTCTCAAAAGCATTGTTTGATTTACTTTAAAAGATATACAAGACCATTAAAAATGAAGGAATAAGTGTATTTTTCAGGACATCTTTCAGTTTAAGGCCATGTCAAAAACACACTTGTGTCTCATTCTGTACGAGGTAGCCTGCTAATATCAGGTAAACTAGGGTGTGATTAACACAGTATCTTCAGGCACAGGTAACATAATGGTCCAAGACGTCCATAGATATTCAACAGAGCAAGGGCAGCATGACAAGGCCATGCAAAGAGGCTGCTTTACACACACATACACACACATACACATTCACACACTAATTTAAAAGATACAGCGACAAAATGTACTTTGAACACCTGATTTTTAACCTGAAAGGTTTTAGAAACATACCAAACAAACAATTACAACCACGTACATGCAGTTTTTTTGTCCCTGTCCACAATTGTACATACACACACAAAGAAGGAGATGTGTGGAGAATCAGTAGCTTTCTCTGTTGATCCATTCTTGTTCATTGAAGTATCTTCTCCCACCTTCAAGATTCAGGCCATTTCTGTAGTTATCCAGATTAGCTTGGAAGGATTTTCGGTTTCCGTATGTTCCGAGGCAGGTCTGGTAACTATCTTCCTTGCCGTTGTACGTCTGATAGAGGTCGGCTTTCACTGTTTGACTTCCAGGCCTCAGTTTGGGATCATAGAGGTTACTCCCTCCACTGATGCTGCCGTCATACAGTCCATGGTCCCCGTACACACTGCTGCCGTAATGCTCACTCTTTGTCGTTCGACGACCAAGACTCCTGTCATAAAACTCTTTGTGCCCCGTGCGGCCCAGGCTGCCGTCATTCAGTTCCCTCTTTCCTGAGCGGCCCAAGCTGGTGTCGTAGAAGTCACGGGTGCCACGGCGTCCGAGGCTGTGGTCGTTGAGGTCTAAGTTGAGGAAGCAGCTCTCTGTGCTTGCAAGAGTCACAAAGCCGCTCTCTGTGTCCCGACCGCCCAGGTTGTCGTAGTCACCTGTGGGAGTATCAGGAGAGGAGCAGAGGAAGGAGGTGTTTTTGGTTTGTGGGCGAGTTGAAACCAGGTCATCGTCCTTCTGGGAGCGAATGACGTTGTAGACGTCAGTTGGGGCTGGGCTGGGGCAAAGGCCCGGGTCCGTCTGGCAAACCTCGGATTTCTGCTGTTTTTTCTTTCTGTGTCACAGAGAGAGAAACATAAGGAAGATTTACAGAAGATGTATAGCAAAAGTTTTCTTGATGTGAATCCAAACAGGTGGATTTCATGATCTGAGACAGAGCTGTCGATTTTAACTTCACAATAGGTTTTGAGTCAGAGAATATTAGTGTCTTATTGAACAGATCCTACTAACCTGTGAGAAGCTATATAACAAGATGTATCCATTGTTGTACAGATATGTAAGTTAATGACCCACAACTTGCACTTAGACATGTTCCTTCATTTCAATGAACACAGGCCCTGTAGTTTATTTTTAACAAATCCCACAAACAATGTTTTGTTCATGCAAATATTTCCTAGTGTTTATCAATCCGCAGTTTATCATAGACCACAGCAATTGCTCTATTTACTCCCATTTGACTACATTTGTGATTCTATTTTAAACATTTAGTGTTCAGTCTGGGTAGGAAGGTCAGGAGAGTATTCAGTAAAACATTGTTAGTTGGGACACGTGGACATTAAGTCAAATATCCCCAGACTGATCCTTTACGTTTAACATGAGGGCACACTATTTGTGATGTTGTATTTTTTCACTATGTAACAAAATAATTACAACTGACAACTACATTTAACATATGATAACATATTATATAATGCTTGTGTGGAAAAGATTTGACTAATATAGTAAAATTGCAACCCTGCAGCTGGTCTGTTCACTGATGAATGAATTCATATTTGAATTACAATTGAACAGAGGTCACCGAAGCTCACGTTTCTAATTGTGATTGTTGGAATTTTTTTAATCTTATGTTGAATTAAAACTTGTATTTGTCTGTAGACTTTTGCCTTTGTTTTGGACCCTCACCGTCTGCCAAGCAGTTTGAAGCAGCAGACTCCGGTCACTGTCAGCAACAGCAGTATCAGGGGGATGGTGGGAATGATGACATAAACCAAGTTCATAGCTAAAAGAAAGAGATGCAGATTTAGTGACCGACCGGTGTTTGGATTTGACATTCTCTGACTTTTCTCTGCAGAAAACTACTGATAAGTTCATCAATAGGAATCAACCTGTACTTCTGTCCCGGTTGTGGTCACTTGGGTTCCATGGCAGCACAGATGCAGGGAAGACATCTGTAACGAGAGTCATCCTGACTGTCACTCTATATTCAGCAAAGTCACTCTTAAAGTATCCAAAATCTCTGCTGAGCAGTTTTACCTGTTTGAGTGAAGTTGGGAGAGGGGGGTAGGTCCGGTGGCTTCTCTGAGGAGAACATGAATCTCAGTCAACAAACTTCAAGCATTTTCAAATAAACGTAATTCAGAATAAGTAGTAGTAGTAGTAGTAGTAGTACCTGCAGTGTATTTGCAGATGAAGTTGTTCTTGGTTTCGCAGTTGTCGTCGTTCCACTGGAACATGTAGAGTCCGCCCAGACCCGGGGGTGCAGAAGGCTGGTGATACATCACCACACATACCTCGTAGCCGCATGAAGGCTCGTCCCAGTGCCAGTTCCTACAATCACACACATGAACGTGAACAGATTCACTTTGCTCAAAGCTTCCTCAGTGGACATCTGTAACTTACATCTTCAAATTTCAGTATTTCAAAATTTCGTCTTTTAATTTCAATAGTAATAGTAAAAAAAAAAAAAAGGTCCCTATGAGACCTCAACATGTATTTTTTGGTACATTTACATTATTTACTCACGTAAGAAAAGAATATCAGCCAATTTTATATATTTTTTAATATATTAGTGCAGTAGACCAATGGTTCTCAAATGTGGGATCATGCTATATGGGCGACCTATGTTGATAAAGTCTCTATTTACTAAGACATTTCTCTTTTGTTGTTCTTTTATATAACTCAGTAGAAGTGTAAACAAATATGTTATGTCAAATTTTTCAATGAGGGGATCCCTGGAATATTTTCTATCTTGTCATGGGTCTTTGGCTGAGAAGAATTGGAGAACCTCTGGTATAGACAACAATGAATATCTAGTATAAATTGAGAGCCTTCATGGGAACACATGAATGAGGAAAACCCTCTCTTCAATAAAATTCGTCATTGTACAAGAGAATTTGACATTTTAATTTATTGCTCAAAGAATCTCTCATTTTGACCCCTTTAAATTTCTTTGACCCTCTAGTCTTTACGCACCTAAATGTGGACTTGCTGCCATCCAGCCAGTAGTACAGCGTCGAGCAGTCCGAGCTGCTGTCCGAGCCTCCTCCGTTGCGCCGCAGACCAATCCAGAAGTCTCCATCCGTCGGGCGGAGCTCTGTGATGAGCTGCTCTATGATCTTCTGTTCAGACTCTGACTCCACGCTCAGCAGCTGCCCTCCATCTCGTCTGCAGGCGAGCTCGGCCTCGACGAAGTTCAGCCTCCGCCGGAGCTCGGAGAAGTAGGCCAGCTTGTAACAGGGCTTCCCTTTCCCTGCCTTGCACACACGCTGACCTACACACATACACACACTTTGTCACACATGGTGTGCACTGATATTTCTTCATATGTATCAACTACAGCAAATGACCTCACTCAGAGAATAATTGGAATTTTATACACATGACTAAAGGTACACGGTTAGTTCAGGAAGTCTTTAAAAATATTATATTTTTAGCAGTGTGTCTCCTACCTCTAGCTTCAAATATATCCGCTTTATGTCAGAACATCCAGTGTAGAGTCAGGAAGGCAAATCAAAGACAGATCCACAAGTGAATCAAGAGGTGGGTTTTTGTGCTGTGTTTTGAGTTTTTTTGTGTGTTTTGTGTGTGCACTTACCTGTGATGAGGCTTGTGGCTGCGGATGGATCAAAAAACAAAAGCAGAACGTGACAGATGACGATTGTGAGCAGATCCATTGGTAGTATGGAGGGATCTGTCGTAGTCACCAGTTCACCACCACCTCTTGTATTTCAGTTTAGTCTTTCTCATTCCTTCGTCTGTGGAGCTCAGGTGAGGTAAACTCTGCTGCTGCTGCTGCTTCAGGTGTAAGAAAAATGCTCCCAAAAAGGTTGAAATTCAGAGAAAAAGCAGAAGAAGTGCAAAAGATGCAAGTCTCCTCCTGAGTCTGTGAGACAGAAGGAGGAGCACGAGGAGGAGGAGAGACGACTGTGCGTGTTTGGGAGGGGGCTGTAATCTGTTAAGAGCAGTCTTAATGATTGGGAGAAGAGGCTGCATCGATTGCGAGACATCTAATCATGCAAGTGCTTCTCATCGTAAACGCTGACAAGAGGCAGATTTCACTCCTTCTTTTATTACTTAAGCTCCGGGTATTATCGTTACCAAAGTGTTACATGAAAATGATCCCCTCTAACTCGATAAGGGATGTTTTAAAATATTTTCTCTCATTTTCTAGCTTATTGTATTTCAGGACATAGCACGAGAGAGATAACGCCTGACAATGAGGAGCAACACTGGATCTTTCTTTACTTGAATATTGATGCTTGATTCTGAATCTCAAATGTTTCTGCATGAAAAGATCTTTTGATTGAAGTTCAAAAATAGATATGCATATCTGGACTGTGTGGGTGTGGTTTCATCGGATTTGATTAGCAGAGACTTCGGAACAAAACAAACATCCTCACAACTGTCATGACATCACCCTCCTACCAATCAAGTCATATTCACTTCAAACTGCGTAAAAGAGGACAGACCCAAACACAAATGGAGAAATCGAGCTTGTCACAAAACCAAAACTGTATCGTCTGTTTTCAGGGATCTCTTGGTGTTGGATTTTTCTTCAGAGGCTTAAATGATTTATGGTTTAGAAATTGTTATTATTGATTTGATGGAAAAAAAGAAATCAGGACTTGCATTCGACAAAACTAAAACATGCATTGTTTTGGTGCAAATGTCAGTCAGTGGGATTGTGCAAGATGACAGGTTTTCATGAAACTTGGTGGAAGGATGAGACATGGGTCAAGAAAGTACCCATTTCATTTTGGCGTGGATGTGGACAAAGGGGTGGTTCAAGGAATTTATAATCTCTTTCATCAAAACTGTTTTTAAAAATATATTTTCATCTATTTCTCAGGGAATAAACCATGCATATTGATGAAAAATATCTGGCATATTTAGAGGACAGATACAGTATCTATGAGTGCGTGTAATTTTGTGCTGCCTTAATCTAATTTAAGGGGATTGTTTGTCCTTGGTGATCTTATGAATGGCTATTTATTCATTTTTATCATCATTTAAAATATTTTAGATTTAAAAAACTTGAATAATGTCAGTTTTGCATTTTGCATTCTCTGATTTGCTTTCTTGCTGATAATAAATACCACTCTCATGTCTTTCCAAAAATTACAAATATCACAGTATATGCATTAGCTTAGAATAATGATCCAGAAGGGGGAAAACTGTGAATAAGCTAGCTCATAAGCAAATACTTATATATGCTAAATATGCTATACATTAAACCATAGACTGTATATAAAGATGGACGATGTGTCTTCCCTTCCTGTCTCTATAATGAAGCCAAAATATCTTGAATACTAACGCTGCCATCTACCACATTTGGAGTAAGAATCTGCACATTAGCAATCGGGGATTGGAGCGGCGATAACAAATGTGATCTGATGTGGTATTCGACTTTTTAGTTTGGTCCATGTCCCATCCACTCTTGTCTTTATATTCAGTCTTTGGATTAAACAAACCACATATTATGTATTAGTGGGCTTAAGAAATGCTGGTAAAATAATGTATTCACTTATAAGAGTCAGGCTAGTTGTTTCCCATCATCCACCTTGTGCTAAGTTAATGAATAAGAACAAACTGAAAGAAAATACTTTGTTGACAAGTTTGATGTATTTCATAAGCTCATCTCTGAAAAAATTACCCAGATGGATATTTGACGTTCAAGTTTAATAACAAGGAAAACCTCCTCTGCCGTCTATAATTTAATATCGGAGCATCAGGATCAGCAGAAACTACGAATGCATGTGAGCGTGACCTGCTTTTCTGAGCACAAATGCCTGGAAAAGTGTATGTATGCAGTTCCTAATGGTAGTAATTTCTAAAATGGCCCATAAGGTTGATTTAGGGATTGCAGAGAGACAGATCAGCCAGAGTTTAAACAGTAGGATGCTTCATCAGGAATATGCTGCGTGTGCTTGCGTTGAATAGGGAGTGAGGAAGAAGGAAGGGGGGGTTGAGTGAGGCCGCCCTGGATATATATATATATGCTGTCTCCATTTGTGCAGCTTTATCCAAACACTGATCCGTTTAGCTGCAGATTGATTACAGTTGAAGGGTTTCAGCTTTGTGTAAATTGAAGGCCGGGTACAGGACGTTTGCATTATCAGGTGATGCTCCAAACAATATAAAGACAGAGTGGCTCCTGAGTCCCCCCCGGTGGGATTCGATAAAGAGTGGTCCTGGTTTTACAGCATCTGAGACCAGGAGTGGGTTTCATTCAATTAGGCCTCCACCATTCGTCCCTCCTCTCACACAGTCTGTCTTCTTCTGTCTCTGCCTCCCTTCCTCATCCCATTCACCCCCTCTTCCCTCTCTCCCAATTAGTTAAAGGGAAACCAGATGAATGCTCCCATGGGACGCCGCTACATCACCCGACGCACCACCACAACACACACACATGCAGGACACTCCCTCACACACGAGGTTCACCATGTCAGGACATTGATGTTGAAAATTCACCACTGTTCTTTCACGTTGGACATTTAGCCAATATGCATCGGTAAAGAGAATTTCTAAATGTAAATTTTCGCCGAGGCAAATGCGTAATGGTCAAACCGATCCTAGTTACACAGTAAAATAACATGATTTGAAGCCATAAACTGGCTCGGACCAAAATAAATCATTGAGTGGGCAGTTATTTGTGGGCTGTAAAAACAAGGCCATGAACGACAAACTCAATTCAGTCCCATCTGACGAACAGAGAGGGAAAGAAAAAACAAACGTAATCACCCACCAAAATAAGAAATTAACTTTCCACTAAATCTAATTTGAATGATCCGACTCGGCACACTGCCAGGCCGAGTGTCCGCATTGCGTAGGCCGGTGCAGAGAGCTGGAAATGGGCCCTGAGTAACTGACCTGAGGGGGAGCTGGACGGCTCCCTCAGCAGAGCAGCGTCCATAAAAGAGTTTTAATGAAACCTTTTAAGTGCTGTAGTCATTCTTTTCCCCTTTTTGATGCAGGTGTGGAAAAGGCCTGACAGAAGGAAACTGTGGTTGTGAATGCATAAACAGCGCGTCATGTAGATTATAATTCAAATAATTTTCTGAGTGTCCTCCTGCATAGAGACAATGATGAATGTGCATCTTACAAAAATATTGAGGTTTGCGTTATTTTATCCATTTAATTAACAAACATTATATAAAATATATGTTCCTGCATCTACAGTCTGATATTAAAACATCTTTAACTTAGGCAATTGTGACATTGGTGGCTGTCATTTATGGCTGCTGGCTGTTTTTTCTCCGGCCTTTGGGTTTGTTTGTTGTTTGCATGTGATCATGCAGATAAGGAGAAACCAGACCTAAGAATTTTTTATCACTTTCTTTGTGAGATTGGGTGTTTTTCAACATTTTCCCAGAGAATAATTCATGGATTTTAGGGGACTGATCTCATCTACTGATCTAATCTGTGTGAATTTTGGTGCTGACTGTTGGGCCTTTGTGGAGGGATGCTGTGTACTTTACTGAGTGCCATTCTAGTTTTAAGTTTTATCAAATTGTGACTGTGTCTGAGTTGGTCAAAATTAAACTTTAAATGAGACTCAAAGCAGTTGTACCAAGAGATAAGGACATGGATAAATTCAATGTATCATTAGACAGTAAATACAACGATACATGATAACATGTGCAATGGAGAGGAACAGTCATCTCTAGTTTTTGTACCTGATAAATAAAACATAGCAAAAGATCCATCATAAGGTAATTCTGCTTATCGTCCTCTAACATCATCAATGCCCCAACAGTCGGTGACATCAAAATAATACCACTTTGTAAAACGTTGGTATATTAATTCAGGGTGCGTTTGGATCAGTTTCTCTTAAAAAGACAAGTGCAGACCCAGGTTAATACTGATTTATTGAGTTGTTTACAAACTGGTTGGCCACTGAAAATGGTGAATAAATGAATGTGCAGACAGGATACAGTTCTGAAAAACATAACTGATAGCTATTTGCATGCATGTATTTGATACAAACATTTTATAATTTTGCATCTTTCTATTCTGAACCAACACTCAGGAAATACTGATTGAATGTTGGATGAATTCAGTCATCGCCGATCATCTAGCAAAATAACATTAACCAATGTTTTTGAAAAAATAAATCATATAAATGAAATAACGAACCAAACTGCAGCATATAAATGAATTTAATCCTTCAAAAACACAATTGGTGCATAATCGTCCTGTGTGTCATTTGCCAGGACAGATTTGAGAAAAGGGACGACTCTGAAAAGATTAATGTGGAAATCTCTGGAGGTGTCGTCTGACTCTACGAGACCTCCCGTTGAGCAAAGATTCTTGGTTCCCCAGCTCACCACGCCAACCTATGGACGAGGTCATTGGTTACTTTACAACATCAGCAAGAACTCACATGGTCAAACTGTTACCTCAGGATAACATTGGATGCATGGATAATAATCGCTTTTCACCTGTATTGTACGATGCTCGTAGTTCTTGAACACAGCTCCTCCAGAGTCGCCTGTCCCCAAAAAATACACATGCATATAGTCACAACAAAAATAATAGACTTCAGACTCTGGCCAGATATTTTCCTGTATGTGTGTGATGAAAGGATCTTAGCTTAGCTCACTTCAAGTATGTTTATGGGATAACCAGCTCCTTGTCAAGTAGAGCTATAACCTTAACACATACCTGAGCATGCTATGTGATCTCTATAAGGATTCCGACCACCCGTGCACAGGAAGTTTTCAGTCACTGCAACCTTTGGATTATCCGTGGTTATGCCTTTTGCAGCTAGTGCATGTCTGATACATTCGTTCCTCTGCATGGGAGAGTTGGATGAAGAACTTCAGCTTTAGGATTTGAGTGAGACAGACTAGAGGCACATCACAGCTCGATGATTTCTAACTTACATTATCGCCAAGTTTAGCATGGACATCTTTTTCATCGAGCGAGTTTCTCGACTTTGTCAGGAAACTGAGTTTTTCCAGGTGATTTTTCAACAGAAGCTGCTCTGCAGGGACGAACAAAAAGACAGAGGCTCAACAGATGCAAGGCCACTGAAGTGTCTGTGGACTGAGGATATTTGTGAGACATTGTGAGACATTGTGAGACATTGTGAGGTAAAGGAAAAATTTGAAACTTATCATTTTGATTTGAAGACAAATTCACAAAACTGCCTCAACAGCAACTATCTGATTAGAGTTTTGTTACCCTGAGTGCTTTACAAAATACATGGGAATAAAACAACACAGAACAAAACAAAATTAAGAAAAATAACATCAAAGAGAAACGAGCCATGATGACATTCCATTTCACGTGAACGGAGAGAACACAAGATCCTCCTTCATTTATTACATTGATATCGTGTCACCCTGTGTAATGTTTACACCTCAGATAAGGTAAGTCGAGCAATACATCATTTTAGTGTTGTGGGGACAGGGCCCTCTCCATCACTGGCTCCCCCCCCATCATCCAATTCTCCCCCTCAATAGAAGTTTTCAAAAGTCATCTGAAACACATTTTATTCAATGTGCCCAGATTGTTGTGTTGTTAGTATTATTATTGTTGTTTGTATTGTTATTATTGTTATTACTATTATTGGTGATGTGATAATAATGATAGCAATATTTTCTGTTCTGTTTTTAATTTCACTGTTATTTTTGTCTTGTAAGGAACTTTGGATCAAAGAATGCTGTGAATTAAAGTGCTATATAAATAAAGTTGAAGTTAAAGTTGAATTTAGTGCTATTAAACCTCGTCCACACATGAAAAAAGAAATTGGTAGGATGCCAAAGTCCGGAAAGGAGCACAGCCACAAGAGCCAAATTTCCCATCACTATAAACTAGTGAACTGGAAACAAAAATTTTAATTCAGACACTGATGGATGCTTAATCAGCTACTCAGCAAAACCTAATAAAAATCTGCCAAAGACTGACTGACTGTTTATGTGTCTAATATCAAGGACCCACTGGTTTTGAAGTACAATAACTTGCAGCTCAGAAATGGGCCGATAAAGGTCACAAGCTCTATATGAAGATGGGCATCTTTATAAGCTTTTATGACAAATGAGCTGTGTGACAGCGTGACATTGTGTTGGTGGAGGTTACACACCTTGTTGTTTGAGGGTAGATTCACCGACCATTTGCAGAGCGTCACTGGTCTCCTGGGTGCCAGGAATGCAAATACGTCTGATGGAGACAGCAAACACAACATGCCATGAAAGTACTCCTAACTCCTAACATAAGAAATATATCAATAGTCTGTTACACACATGATTTTTGTTTATGTGTGAGATGTTAAGAAGAACTATTTTATCACTATATCTCCAGGCAAATCAAATGTGAGCACAAACGACAATATGGGTTGTTACCTGACGGCAGAAGAGATACGAACATCTTCCTCCAGTTGGATGAGAGCGATATCGTAGTCATAGAACTCCTGCACGCCTTCCTTCTCCTTAGCTTTAATATTGTAATTTGGGTGTAATATGAAGGTTTTTACTCGTTTTACTGCAAAAGAGATGAAGTCACTTGTTAGTAATACAGTTAATATCATACTGCAGAGAGCAGAAAACTTAGTCAAACTCATATTTGATATCAAAATATTTGAGTAAAGTGACCAAAAATTAATTAATGTAACTGCTACAATCACAATAACCATGTTGATACACCTGTACAAGAGAGGTAGGCATATGCATTCAGACATTAAATAAACATTTTTTACCCTTGCCGTTTCCATCATCAATCTCAACTGTCACATGCTCTGGTAAATCGCCAAACGTGAAGCAGTGAGCAGCGGTCAGAATAAACTTGGAGGTCACCAGAGAGCCGAGGCACTTCCTTGTTCCTTGATTCTTGAGTTTAAATGATAAATAAATACAGTTCAGTTGATAAAACAGGAGGCAAATTCTACTGTGTAACCAGTAAAATCCTGTAAATTTGAATAATTTCTATGGTCAGGGACCATAGGTTATTTTCCTCGCAAACATTTGTCATACACAACTTATGAAGTCAAATGAAATACTGAAACATGCACCTGGACCACGATGTACGCCCACCATGGATACATTTTCCTCTTGCTTTCTTTGGTAAATGCTGTGTCATAATCCCTGTGAAGACCGCATAGGCCCTGAACGTCGCTTTCATCTGCATTAAAACAATCCATAGTGAATGAAAACAATCAATTCAATGGAGATAATGTCCCTGAATACAAAAACATTTTCGGTTATATCAGACTTAAGAATTAGATTGAACATTACATTCATTTGTCGCAAGGTTTTTATCCCAACGTGACATTTTTTTCACATACATTAGGAACCATTTGGGATTCATTGTCTTGAACCCATTTCATTATTAAATTACATGACATTTATTTAGCAGATGGTCTCACTCTCATCCAAAGCAACCCTCAGTAAATGCATTTAACCTCTGAAGGTACAAGAGTTTTTTGCAACAAATACTGTAAGTGCAAGACACATTTTCAGCTGGGAGTGTATTATTCAGTTGTTCATAAAGCTATGGATTTACACTCGATGTGATCAGAATCTGTTAAGTGTAAATGCAAACTGAACCTTATGACCACATCTTAAAGGTTCATTGTGTATAATTTTGTGACATCTAGTGGTGAAGTTGCATATTGCAGCTGAATACCCCTTACCTCACCTTCCCTGCCATTCATGTTTGGCGTGGAAGGTGTTTGTCCAGTCTGGGCTACTGTAACAAACATGGTGGCCTCTGTATAGAGGACCCAATCCCAATGTAAATATTAAGTATTGAAATATAAAGGGCCCATTCGAGGGTTAAGAAAACAACAAATTAGATCAATTGATCTTTGATCTTTGAGAAAAATGTATTTCATGTGTACTTTGACTTTTTACTTTTTACTCTGGGGACCATGAATGTCTGAAAAAAAATCCTGGCAAGAGTTGTTTGGATTTGAGTTTCCATCTGAACTATTGGCAACTTTAGATTTTAAAAGTGCAATTCCTCTTAATGTGAAAATTGTGTATAGTTTTTAATGGTCCATTCTGTTGATGGATATAGACATGATGCGCGTGTACAGTTTAAATGTGATCCAGTGGGAGATTTTATCACATCTGTCTATGCAGTAGTGTTGGGCTGTGTATCATAGAGAGACACCACAAGATCAAGAGTAATGAGTGCGCCTGCTCTTAAGCACTTTAGGAAACAGGACAGAGCTGTGTTTTGCCCCCCAGTTATGATCATATATCTCCTTTGTGTCAGACTGGAGCGTGGAGATGAATGCTGTCACACAAATGCATCACCGAACTGAAAATGGAAGCGTGTCATGAGAATCATTTAGCCTTCTGACGTCACCCACCAATTATTTCATCAAAGGTCTCCTGCAAATTCGTAATGTCCTTCATTCTGAAGTAATGCTGGCCACCGGTGCCTGTTGTGAGCGGCTGCAGGTCGTCATCTAAGATATCCGCTCCAATGGCAAAAATGTAAATGTCTGTCTCAGGAGGGAAAATGGTTTGAGAAGTTAAAACACAAACATCAGCACAGCAGCAGAAATGTAAAAGCAGCAACATATCAATAAAACTCACCAAGGAATTCCTCTCTTGACTGAGTTTCTTGTTCACTGGTGTGGTTCATGTAAACCATGTTCTTTATTCTTTCCACAGTGGGAGCAGGGGAGCCGCCCATGTTATAAGCACCTGCAATGAAAGGAGACAATATGTTTAAATGATATTCAACCTTTTTTATTGAACGGTATGTTTACAACACAGACAATTAAAGGTCCAGTGTGTAAGATTTAGGTGAAAGGGACCTATTGACATAAACTGAATATAAAATAATCCTAGTGATGTTTTCACTTGCGTGTTTCATCTAAATTCTATGAATTGTTGTTTTCTTTACCCTAGAATGGGCCCTTTAAATTTAAATACTCTACATTAACATTGGAGCAGGTCCTTTCTAAGGAGGCTCCCATGTTTTTTACAGTGGCCCAAATTGGACAATCTAAATACCTTTAGAGTTTGTATGTCAACCTAAGGCTTACACAGGTTCTGATTCATGTTTGGAAGGGTAGGGTGAGGTGAGGGGTATTCAGCTGCAACATGCAACTTCACCACTAGATATCACTAAATTCTACACACTGAACCTTTAAGATTAATTGGGAATTAGCATAGTACCCGTTCTCAACCTGCTGGTTGGGAATGGGCTGTTTAGTGAGCTATCCTCAAACAGTTCTACATTATACTATTCCTTTTTATTGTTTGTTTGCTGGACACTATGTGCAGAGCTTTTCATAAACAGTCTGTGTTGCAGAGTGAAGTTAGAAAACTTTACATTCATCCTACCTGGTTTATCTGCAATAAAGATATTATATTCAATGTTTTTCAACAAATTCAACTGATTTTGTTTCACTTCTTCTGCTGTTCATGTGTGTGCTTTATATTTAAATTTGAATCATTTACTTAACTGGTGTTATTTTTTTTGGACTATTTCAGAGGCCTGACTCAAACTGACTCAATCTTCAGACCCAAGTTCCAAACCTTTCAAAATAAAAGCTCTGTAATTCAGTTATATATAAAGCATGGCAACAACAAAACCCTAACCCTTTTTTTAAAACAACTTGCTAAAGAGGAAGTGATTCTATAAATGTTGACCACCATGACCATGATCTAGAATGTTACCATCAGTAAAAACAATGAGGACATGACGATGTTCCTTAAACCCCTCCTCTGTCACTCGTGCCTTTATGATAGCCATTCTCTCCAGAAAGGTGAGGAAGACGCGATTCAGATCTGTTCCAGCAGTGTTTCTGTCTTGGAGTGCAAACACACAGTAAAGCACAATATCAGGCTCAAGCTGTGTTTGATAAAAAAATATATTCACCAACATCTCTGATCTGTTTGACTCACTGCCCACTTTAAACTTTTCCAGCGCTTTCTTGACGCCGTCGGCCTGCGCTATTCTGCCGTCCAAGAACTCAAGTATGTCGACAACTTCGTGTATGTCAGCGGAGAAAAAGAGGACTTCATAATTTGGAGTCACACTAAAGGATGAAATCTGTGGAGACACAAGTGAAACGGTTGAACATCAGGTGGATGAGGTTTAGAATTTTATGAGCTTTGTGAGCACATGTGAACTCGTGGCACATGCTGTGAAATATTTTGTTAATGCAACACCTCCATATGTATCAAACTGCTTACGGTTGTTATTTTGTTGAGTAATTGACTCATTTATCAGCAGAAAGATTTTCCCATAGTGTGCATTGACTTCGAGCCAGGGGACTCTTGCCAGGAGGCATCAATCAAGCTTATGATGTGTAATTCATAATGAAATTTCATTCTAATGGGCTGTTGTCCTGGCAGCCTAATGGGATGAGATTATGTTTGTACATGTTGAGTGTTCAGTTTGCCAAATGGGATTCTAACAGTGTGTCAGGCTTCATATGTCAGCTTACACCAAACATATGGTCATTTATATAACTCCAGATAGTGAAATCCACTCTTCTCATTCTCTCAATGGGATCAGTGTTATGACCTTCACATCCATAGACAATATATACATATGTATATATCCATATATACACTTGGACATACATCAGTGTGATAAGAACTACCTAACCTGACTGAAACCATCAGTCAAACATTATAAAGAAATGTTGCTTTATATCGTTACAGGTCAAGCTGGAGTCAAGGTAGTTGTAGTAACCCCCTGATTACAGCCTTTGCGCTAAGCTACAATATAAAGATGAAAAATGCATCTACTCTTCCTCCAGGTATTCAGAAATGAATCCAAAATATATAAGTATATGAATGCTGCCATCTTTAGCATTTGGACCTAGAGTCTGTGCAGTGGCGAGCCACGGTTGCAGTTACGGCGATAAATGCTCTTGACCAATCGCTTCACCTCATTTTTATAGCATAACAAATTGAAATCAGACTGACTGGAAAAATTAACTCTTGAAGATTGAAGTGTGATAACTAGAATGTCAGAAACCATCTTTGAGAAAAAGTTAATTAAAGTTTACTCTGATCCACGTCTCATCTGCTAACATGGAGGAGGCAGGGCTTATGATCTATAATGCAGCCAACCAACAGGGGGCCATCAAGATGCTTTGGCTTCAATTTTGGTAAGGGATTGGGTTGGTTTGCCTTCACTGATAGGACAGAATGAATGTGAAATGGCAATAGAGAATGGGGTAGAAGCAGAGCAGAGGTTCAGAACCTGATCTGTGGCCACTGCAGTTTGCAGAGCACCCATGCTAACAGGTGAGCTAGGGTGTCGCGTGTTATCAATCTTTTAATACAGTCTTCGGTCACATCCACTAAGCTAATGATTCTTTAAGTAGTCAAAAAATGTATGTTAAACATAATTTTTAGGACTGTTGAGTACAGCAATGACAAATAAATAAAAAGGAAATATTAAATAATATCAATTAATATAGATACAAAAATAAAGAAAAGAATGATACAAATTAAACACTCACATCCATTTGTAAAACTTTTCATGAAATGTTCATTCATTCAGCCTCCTTTGTCAGCAGCATAGTTTATTTAAAACCTTTTGATTGATTTTTCCTCCCAGCAGTTTTTGTTTCATCGCAATCATTGTCAAAGTAAAGCAGAAGAACATGTTTTTATTTCAAATCTATTTCTCTTTTACACACAGTTTTTCCTTCATCATCAATTTAATTTAAAATGCAACTTGGCAAAAAGTCTGTCAATTAAGACAAACAAGACAAATCAAATGAAGCGATTATTGATTTGATGTGAATGTGCATGCGTTTTATAGCTACATGAAATTCTGACCCATAACTAATAGGCTAATGGCTTCATGCACAATAGGAGCTGTTACATTTTCATTTTACTCCTCACGAGAAAAGTGATTGATTAAATGTCCAGACGGCTCACACTAACTGCTGTATTGTGACATGTTTTAAAAACTCAGCAAATGTATTGCCAACATCCATCAACAGCAGCTTGTACTTTCACCCCATGTGCATCTTTTAAACTGAGCCCATGGTCACTGAAACGATCCCAATATAACTCAGGTCTTTACTTTCAGCACAATGTTGCTGACGGCAAATTCAGCATTTAAATACCTTGTTTTGTTTTATCACATTTTTTATTGAAGAGTAACTTTGTTTGTTTCTTACCTTTGTAATAAGTTTGGTGACAGCATCCTTTGCACCAGTGAACTGCTTCTCCTCGATGCTCTCAGAAATATCCACAGCAATATAGATATTAAGAGTCCCATTTTTTGAAATCCTGATTTTCTTCCCCTCCTGTGTGTCATCTAAACAAGTCACAACACATTATTTTTGTATTTGTTTTCATAATTTGCAGTGCGTTGAGCTCTCTCGGGCCAGCGTCATTATCATTATGGCATGGACATAACAGGAGCAGTGTTTTCAGTGGGAGAGAGAACCAGCTCTGCTGGTTCTTTTACCTTTTACAAAAACAAAAGATCTATATAACCCACTAGAGGAAAGGGAAATACTGAAAAAGCACAATATTTCTCCTTTAAATAATTCTAATAATAAAATACCTCCTGAAACTTACCAAGGGGCTCTAAAGTGGCAAGGCTTTGTTCGATCGCACTGCCAAATGCTTCTGAAACCTCCAGAGGGGTGTCATAGGTGTGTTTGTCTGGAAGAAGCAAAAGTTTTCAGTCACTGTGACGAGTTGGATTGATGCTAAAGAAAAAGCTCTGCAGACAAAAAAAACTCTCCCATCACTGCAGGGACTGGGACTCAGCTCTCTGCAGTTTATGTTTTTACATTCATAGTTGGGGGGCAGGTGAGGGACCAAGTGCATGTTAATGGAAAAGATTCTGGTTGCTCAGCATATGTGTGCATCCTGACCTGAACCCACTGGGCATTCTGTTTATTGTTTCTGAACCCCACCTGAGCAAGATGTTTCCCTCCATTCCGGGCAAGGGCAGTGTAAGAAATCAAGTAGAGTAGTCCAGCAAACTCTGTTATTTTTGTATTTGTAGTCTATGATTCCCTCACTGACTTTCTTATAGTTTTTACAAAAGGTTACAAAAGATGTTCTGTACCATACAGTATCATGAATGTATGCAGTAACATGTATGTAGGTGTCTTACAGTAACATGCTGGCTCTTTGCCCGTCCACTGGCCGTTCTCCTGACACACTCTTTCTTTCGACCCGACCAGAAACAGTTTGCCATTGCAGGTGTATTTCACTGTGTCATCAATTCCTAACATGTTTCCTGCTCTTGAGGCTCCAGCTGGAATTCCGGGATCAGCACAGTTATCTCCCGCTGCAGAAACACAAACGACAAAAGACCCCTCACACATCTGTTATGAATGTGAATGTCTGTATAAGTGGAGGGGGAGGGGAAGCAGGTTGATGTTCAGGACTCACAGTCACGGCTACAGATGGGAGTGGAGCCACTCCATTTCCCGTTTGGTAAGCAAACACGCCTGCTCGAGCCTCGCATTGTGTATCCAGAGTAGCAATCATATTTGGTTTCATTATACACAAAGTACCTCTCCTGGGGAGGGGTGACATTCCCATTCTCCAGCACGTTGGGGTCTGGACATTCAATAACTGCAACACAACACAAAAGCCCCTGAGTTCTCATGTAGAGCAAGAGGCCTGAGGCAAAGAGACAAACATCATCATCATCATCATCATCATCAGCATCATCATCACTCACTCCTGCATCTCTGAGAAAAAAATCTGGATCTGGCTTTTGGTTTCCAGGTGCCGTCAAGCTGGCACACACGGCTGAGGGCAGGATATGGATAATAGCCCTCAGAGCAGTGGTAGATCAACAGGCTGCCCCAACTCAGCTGCTTGGTCAGTGTGTAGTTACCTCCTTCCATCTGCATGCCCTCCTCTGAGCAATCACACCAAACCCCACATCCTGAGAAGAAGAGAAACATTATTGCAGCCCAGGATCTAGCTGGGTACTCATATTTAGTTTTTTTGTTCTCAATTTGTTGAAAAGAAATGTTACAAAATACCAGACAAGTACATTTAGCTAAATGCTAATTAAAGACTAAATGAATAAATAACAGAATGTATTGCAAAGACGATAAGAATAGACTTTAATGAAAAAGTAGGAAGGAATGGAGCAAATATGATTCTCTCATCAATCCTCCTGATGAGAGATTATTAGACATTCAGTCTTATTTTACTTAATATCAAATTTTCTAAATAAGACCAAAAGGAGTTTGTATATGTGCAATGTTTAAATAAATGTGTCGCAGGTTCAGGTTTTATGTTACAAAAAGAATTTGACTTGTCTTCTCTGTGTTAGAATTTCAAGAAATCATACCTTGGTTAAACATGACTATAATAAATAAATAACAATAAATATTTCCAAACAAATACCATCAAATCAGTTGTTCCACAAAGCTGTTCCTCTTGGGCCAATCTTTTACCTCATGGAACTAATATTTTAGGAAGCTCCCTCCAGAACCTGATATATGTAGATGTTATTTTTATGTTTTAAAGATAAGTCGTTCCACAAAAAGGGTAAATTCCTCTTCAGGTAAAAGATTCAGATTTCAGAGACCCTGGATGAAATGTATAATCTATGTTTCAAAAAAATCCACTTGATTTACAGTAAATATAAATACATGAGAATTTTTGTGCGATAAAAAATGTAAAATTACATATAATATTGTGCATTTCATGCCCTGTTTTTGTGTTTAAAGCTACTGGATGCTTACATTTCTGTCAAGATTGATAAAATATTTGTCAATCTATCTTTTTATCTGTATGTCATTTTTACCTATGTGTGTATTTTTTAATTTAAGATAAAAACAAACTTACCCATGCAGAGGAGACAGGAAACAACAGCAAACCAGCTCCAGTGGACAGACAATTTCATGTTGAAGCCTAAACTGGGGAGGAAATGAGGGGTTTTTAATGAGAAGCACATTTATTTCCAAACGAACAGCAGCGTTCACAGATAGGGGGCTGGACAAACACAGATTGTCCTGCTACTTATTAACTTCAGGACAAATAAAAGGAGATCAATAGTGAACATAACAGAAGACACTCTTCCATTAATGTTTTAACTATTGCATTAGACCTCAATAACACACAATATGAATACAATCATTGAGTTTCAATCAATGAGAAAAACAAGTTTAATCAAGTGTATTTCTTATTTATTTTATTACTATAACTTGTAGTAGATACTCAATATTAAAACTTATAAAAATGAAAAGGAAGAATCGTATTTATCCTACTCCCAATACTGAGAAGACTTAACAAAAATCAATACAGTTCAGTTTTCGTTTATTTCAGTCCAAACATTATTTTGTTTGGTTATTTTGTGTGTGTCTGTGTGTGTGTGTGTGTGTGTGTGTGTGTGTGTGTGTGTGCGTGCGTCCTGACCATGAATAGGACAGAGATCCAGGATTTCCAACCATGTGTACATACACAGTCACATGCTGCATAAAAAAACAAAGAAATTGTGAAACCAAGACAAAGAACAAACATTTGCTTCATCATTTCCCAAAAGCCAGAGACACGATCGAGCAACACTTACTGACACATTGATTCATCCTTTGGTTGAGGTCATCCCTGAGCCCGTTTTCACTGTGGCTCACTCTCCGTCATTTGATTGACTCCCTTTCCTTTCATTATTTTTCCAATTATTTGATCAAATTAAAGGTGTTAAAGACTCACTGTGAAAGTACATAAATATATTTTAAAACTGAAACGTCAGCACAGGTCTGCTCTTGGAACTCTTTGACCCCTGAGCCTGTGGCAGACCCTGGTTATTTAGCAGCATTACACAAAATCTACCTGATGAATCAATAGGAAACTTTGTGAAGAGATGTAAAATCTTGATCCAGTCGCTCTTGATCCAGTCGATCCTGATCAGCGCATTTTTCAACATTTGTATTGATTTCTAAGAGAATATTTCATGGATGATGATAAAAAAAATCAATCATGTTTCAGAGGGCTGATATTAAAGGTCCAGTGTGTAAGATTTAGGTGAAAGGGATCTATTGGCAGAAATTTAATGTAGAATAATCCTCATGATGTTGTCACAAGTTTTTTTCATCTAAATTGTATGAATTGTAGTTTTCTCTACCTTAGAAAAGGCCCTTTATATTTAAATACTTTATATTTACATCAAGGGGGTCCTCTCTACAGAGGCCGCCATGTTTTTTATATTAATCCAGACTGGACAAACTAAACACCTTTTGAGTTTTTATTTGAGTTTTTAACTGCCACAGTTTCTTTTTCATGTTTGGAAGGGGAGGGTGAGGTGAGGGGTGTTTAGCTGCAACATGTAATTTCAACACTAAATATCTCAAAATTCTACACACTGTACCTTTAATGTTTGTGTGAAAAATAATAAATATAAATCTGGATTTAGTGAATTTAAACATGTGCCATAGTTTTCAGCTGTGATTTAAGTCTTCAGCTACAGTCCTCACTCTTACTGTAGTTTCCTAGATTGCAAAATTGTTTTGGCTCAGATTTGACCCAAAGCCCATATACTACATGGATTGATGGCACTTGGGCACTCCGCTCCTGTTTTCCAGATCTGAGCCATAGCAATACTATATGAAAACCAAAGGTGCCAAAGGTGGCCAGAATTTGTTTTGTGCTATTCGGGCCATCGCACAATTTACCACATAGGTCACTTTAGCTTCACATCTGGATTACATGTTGCCAGGAGCACCGAATGTAACTGTGAATATAAATGTAATCTATTTTGGGATAATTGGTCCACATTTGCTATTTTACAAGTTGGCCCCTTTAGGCACAAATCTATTTTGAACGGGCCGCAAGAAGGCCAGAAGTGCCACATCATGGCCTGAGCTGGCCCACATTCGTTTGTGTTGTGTTTTGAAGAAAAGCTAATGCTGGTAAGGATTTAACAGTTCATGTAAGGTGTGTCTCCAGCTTCTCGAAGAGCTGATGTCACATCTGATAGAGACCAGATAGTTTGGATTCGTCACTGTGTTGATGCAGAGATGTTACACAAAGACACTATTGTTGTTGTTTCCTTTTATACACTTTGTGACTCACACTTGTGTTGCTTCATTACGGCTGATTTGTCCGTCTATTGTTGTAACAGGCTTGTTTTGTTTTGTGATATGGAAGATTTCAAATTCACTTTTATTTATTATAATTGATGGTACAATCATTTTCCATAGGGATATAATTTTCAACTTGCATTTACCTTTTTTCTGTGCATGAATGATTGCTATGATTATCCCTCTAAGAGCAATAACACGTTGACCCCATGGCCTCACCTCTAGCGCCACCTACTGGAGCAACCACACCACAGGTAAGAGCGTATGCAAAATTGTCAGTATTTGCAACAATATTTATACAGTATTTATACAATAATTATTGATCAGTCACTGTGACATTGTGCTGCCAAATTGTCAGTTTATGCCTCTGACATTCCTCATTTACAAATAAGAGAAATGTCATGGAGCAACATTTTGTTTCCATTTCAACACATTTCTTATTTATCTTTTTTCCCTATCATTATTATTATTATTATTATTATTATTATTCAAAGATTTGGTACAAGCCCAATGACTTTAAACTACAAATGAATTAGTGAATGTGGTAAAAACCTGTAGGAGTAAACAGTCTCCCATAGGTGGCGGTAGAGCAGCGCTGAGGAGAGCAGCTGCCGTTAAACCTCAGAGAAGTAGAGGAACAACCGGAAGTGGCGAAATGTCGGAAGTCATCAACAGAAGAAACAACAAGGCGCCAAATTTGTGGCAGGTTGTTCAGAGTCGCTGCTTCAGACTCATGAGAAAGTTCGTCTGACACAACAGGTGAGTCGGTTATTTAACTACGAGTCAATACGTCCGTGACATTTCACTCTTTGACGAATGAGCCGGTGAATTTCCACTGAGCTGACAGCATCTGCAGGAGGTGAAATGTGAGGGAAATCCATGAGTGTGTGTTTGTGTTTGTAGCATGGCGGTGCCTTTTGTGCAGGACTGGGACCTGGTGCAGACACTGGGAGAAGGAGCCTACGGAGAGTATGAATCCTCTTCTGTTTTAAGCACTTACATGATTTACTCTCCCACTACGTCGCCTGGTATAGTTAATGTGTCCAAATGATGTGTAGAATTCTTGCATCAATAAATCACGGAGCATCTTATTGCTGCAGCTTGCTCCACAGGACTTTTGAGAGAGTTGTAAAGTTGAAAAAGCAGCAAAGTAAGAGTTCAGGTTGAATACTAATGCTCCCTGCTCATCTGAAGGGTCAGAGATAATGAATGTGATTTTATATAGTTACATTAATATGAGAAGAAACAAAACAGCTCCTCTTCATCTGTTCCAACAACACTGATTTTATTTACCTGAAACCATGTTTGGACAATTAAACAAATCAATAATCATCACACTATAATTTTCTCAGTAGCAATATAACCAAAAAAAAAATCACTATCAGGATGTTTTTTTTATCAAGATCCAAGAGTTATCCCCATGAAAATCAGTTAAAATTTCAAATAACATTCTATCTCTCTCCTGTTTAAGAAAGTGAAAATAATATGATCTTTGCCAAAATGTAATAGATTCTTCCTTGGACCATGTCCCATCCTTCCACCAAGTTTTGTGGAAATCTGTTTTTGCATAATCCTGCTCACAAAAAAAAAAAAACATACCCTCCTTGGGGGACATAAAAATACACAGTTTAGTTAGTCAGTTAACAAATTGTGCTGCTGACAGTCATTTACCCTGTTTAATCAAAGGTAACTGTAACTCTCCACCACTGCCTTTTATTTGTCTCGTGTCTGCCTGGCCCCTGTGATCGAACCTCTCTTCTCGTTCCTGCGTCTCAGAGTGAGGCTGCTGGTGAACCGGCAGACGGAGGAGGCGGTTGCAGTTAAGGTGATCGATACCTCTCAGGCTAAAGAGTGCGCTGAAAATGTCAAGAAGGAGGTGTGCGTCCATAAGGTAGGTCAGTGCAGTCAGTGGTTACTGGCTGAAGTAGGAAAATGTAATGTGTGTTGACCAGTTACCATGTTTTTTAATGGTTAAAAAGCTTTAAAAAATGGATTCAAATTTTAAAACTTTTAATAGTTTTAACCAGAAACATTGTCTGAAAGCATCTTTTATGAGAACTGTGTTTGCACTTAACGCTATTTACTGCTGTTTGGTAGATCCTCAACCACCCCAACATCGTGCGTTTTTTTGGCCATCGGAAGGAAGGGCCGACGGTGTACCTCTTCCTGGAGTACTGCACCGGAGGAGAGCTGTTCGACCGAATCGGTGAGACACGCCTGTTAGGTGGCAAACATAGGACTACTGTCATTTAGGGTGTGACCAAATCGCTGATAGACTTAAGTCTTCTCTATTATTATATAATGCCAGGAATCACAAGATTGTACAGCTTATATATAATACATATTTATTGTCTTACCTGACTCACAACTAATCATTGATTCACTTTTTTTCTTTAAACTCATTTAATCTCAAATGTACCTGACCCATGGGTGGAAATGCAATTGTTGTCTTTCTTTTCTTCATAATATAATTAATGCACACAACCAACATATAAAATGACTTACTGTAGTGGCAGTGGATATTTGAGTCAGCCTGATCCCCAGTCTGTTGCTGCTATCTATTAATGCTCTGATTGATTCATGTTACTAAGATGTTCTTACTCTCACTGTAGAGCCTGACGTGGGGATGGCAGAGAAAGATGCTCATATGTTTTTCCAGCAGCTAATAGCAGCTGTGGTGAGTGAACCAAATCTGTGCATTGATGTGATATCCTGTATGATTCTGCTGTTATTAAACTCACAGTCACACCTCTGCAGGAGTACCTCCACAGTATTGGCATCACCCACAGAGACATAAAGCCAGAGAACATCTTGCTGGATGACAAAGGTGAGGAAACACAATGTGTTCCCCGTGATAAAGGAATAACTTTTTAAAAAATGGATTCTTACCATCGTCTGCTGCTCTTCTTTA